CGGCATGTTTGGGGTGGTTGTCCTGCTGCAGAATAAATTTAGGGTCAATCACACACCTCCCTGATGGTATGGTATGATGGATAAGTAACTGCCTGTATTATTCAGTATTGAGGACACCATTGATTGGGCAATGTTGAGGACCATAGGAGCAGTGGTCAGCCAAAGAAATCTAATGCAGCAGATGAAAAAACGTGTCATGCTTACTTCTCTTCAACATCAGAAGATGTCCAGCAATGCCATCAGCACAGAACTGGCGGAAACCAGTGGAACCCAGGTAGAACGATCTGTCTGGAGAAGTCTGGCCAGAAGTGGTCTTTGTGGAAGAAATGTGGCAAAAAAAGCTACACCTCTAACTTGGAAACAAGTCTAAGCATCCCAACTATGCACACAAACATTGAGGTGCAGAAAAATGGTAGCAGGTGCTTTGGACTGATGAGTCAAAATGTGAAATATTTGAACAGATACTTATCCATTATATCATACCATCAGGGGCATATGATTTGCCCTAAATGCTTTCTTGCAGCAGGACAGTGGCCCCAAATATACAGCCAATGGCATTAAGTACTATCTTCAGTGTAAAGAAGAACAAGAAGTCCTAGAAGTGATGGTTTGGCCCCCACAGAGCCCTGATCTCAACATCATGGAGCCTGTCTGGGATTATGTGAAGAGACAGAAGGATCTGAGGCAGCCCACATTCACATAAGATCTGTTTTTAGCTCTCCAAGATGTTTGGAACAACGTACCTGCCAAGTTCCTCCAAAAACTGTATACAAGTGTGCCTAGAAGAATTGATGCTCTTTTGAAGGCAAAGGGTGGTCATTCAAAATATTGATTTAAATTGGATTTCTCTTTTGTTAATTTACTTTTTTTTTTAATCACTTTGTTAATTAATACAAATAAACTATTAACACTTCTATTTCTGATTCTTTATTTACAGCATTTTTTCACACATGCCTAACACTTTTGCACAGTAATATATCTATATATATATATATATTTTGTAACTCTTTGCTCAGAAGTTGGACTTACCTGCAGTGCGATCCAGTCGGGGGATTGTGTATTTCGCAGGCTCCCCGCCACGCTCCGAGTCACGTACTTCCTTTCTCTGCAGGTGAAGTGCAGTACTGCACGCTGGGTGAGCTGTGATCCTGTCTCTCTTCTCAGTTGGGGTTGAATTAGCTGCTGATAAATTATGAAATGATACTCATTTTTCTCCCTCTTTTATTTAAGTCGGCGTTATTAGACGCTTCATTATACACAGCTAATACTTAGCAGCTCGTTACTCTCCCCACAGCCAAGCACATTGGTGCCCTCGCTCCCAGATGTTCTGTTACCACATTATTATCTTTCTATGAAGCCTACATGTACGTTTTTGCTATACAAGCCCTGTATGGCCTCTGGCATTGTGGTTTCCTCTAAACCAAGGCAAGAGGAGACACTGGAGCTTTAATGTCAAGATGATGCCTATACAAAGGCTTTGCAGAACAGATGGAAAACATCAACAGGATCTTAAAAGATGACCTTACATATGGTTTTCTGCACACAACCTACTTTAACCGCTAGCCTACCGGGCACTTCTACCCCCTTCCTGCCTACAGGGCACTTCTACCCCCTTCCTGCCTACAGGGCACTTATTCCCCCTTCCTGCCTACAGGGCACTTCTACCCCCTTCCTGCCTACAGGGCACTTATACCCCTTCCTGCCTACAGGGCACTTCTACCCCCTTCCTGCCTACAGGGCACTTATACCCCCTTCCTGCCTACAGGGCACTTCTACCCCTTCCTGCCTACAGGGCACTTCTACCCCCTTCCTGCCTACAGGGCACTTATACCCCCTTCCTGCCCAGGCCAATTTCCAGCTTTCAGCGCTGTCACACTTTGAATGACAATTGCGCGGTCATGCAACACTGCACCCATATGAAATTTTTAACATTTTTTTGTGACAGATAAAGATTTGTTTTGGTGGTATTAATCACCTCTGGGTTTTTTGTTTTTTTCTTGAACAAACCAAAAACCACTGAAAATTTTGAAAAAAAAAAAAATTTTTCTTAGTTTTTGTTATAAACTTTTGTAAATAAGTGATTTTTCTCCTTCACTGATGTGCGCTAATGAGGCTGCACTGATGGACACTGATAGGTGGCACTGATGAGGAGGCACTGGTAGTTGGCACTGATGGGCATTGACAGGCATCACTGATGGGCACTGAAAGGCAGCACTGATACATGGCACTGATAGGCAGCACTGATAGGCGGCACTGACTGGCACTGTTAGGCGGCACTGACTGGCACTGTTAGGCGGCGGCACTGACAGGCACTGATAGGCGGCACTGATGCGTACTGATAGGCAGAACTGACTGGCACTGATAGGCGGCACTGACTGGCACTGATAGGTGGCACTGATTGGCAGTACTGATAGGTGGCACTGATTGGCATTGATAGGTGGCACTGATAGGTGACACTGAAAGGCAGCTCAGATGGGCACTGATATGTGGCATTGATGTGCACTGGTAGGCACTGATATGTGGCACTGATGGGCACTGGCACGAGGCACTGATGAGCACTGACAGCTGGCACTGATGGACACTGACATGTGGCACTGCTGGGGCTACACTGATCATCGGTGCCCTGATGATCAGTGTACATGTCCCCTCCGTGGAAAGCCGATTACCGGCTCTCCTCTCCTCGGTCAGTGTGACAGCTCGAGAGGAGAGAAATGCCGATAACCAGCATTTCCCTGTTTACATGTGATCAGCTGTGATTGGACATAGCTGATCACATGACCGAGCCGACATCTTCAGCTCTTTCCGTGATCGGTTAATCCGCTGTGTCCAAGGGACACAGCGCACCGCCGATCACCGCGCTGCACGCTCCCTGCGCCGTGCATGCGCAGTGAGAATGGGAGGACGTCATATGACGTCCTCCCAGAATGAGAGAACTACCTTGCGTCCGTCATATTACTATATGGCGGGCGGGAGGTGGTTAAAGAACTACATTAACATACTGAATACTGAGCAACCAGCATTTTTTGTAAAATATAGTATAAAGTGTGCAGTGGTCAGGAGTATATTATATACAGCTCAACATACAGAGTGCAATGGTCAGGCATCTGAAATATACAGCTTAGAGTTTAGGAGTGCCTAACCCGCAGGGTGCAGGGGTCAGCAGTACAAAGTGAAAAGATCAGGGCTATGTTACAGTGCATCCAGAGAGAATTCACAGCGCTTAAAGCAGAGTTCCACCTTAAAAAAATAAATAAAAGTCAGCAGCTACAAAAACTGTGCCAATCCTTAATGGGGAGCGTGGGACAAAGGCTTAAAGTGGAACTTCTCCTTTTGGGTGGAGCTCCGCTTTAACATTTGCCACATTTTGTTATGTCACAGCCTTATTCCAAAGTGGATTAAATAAATTTTTTTCCTCAACATTCTACAAACACTCCATCATGACAACGTGAAAGAAGTTTGTTTTGAAATCTTTGCAATTTATTAAAAAAAAAACAAAAAAAAAAAAAAACACATGTACATACTGTAAGTATTCACAGCCTTTGCCGTGACACTCAAAATTGAGCTCTGGTGCATCCTGTTCTTGAGATTTTTCTACAACTTGATTGGAGTACACCTGTGGGAAATTCAGTTGATTGGACATAGTTAGGAAAGACATAAACCTATCTCACATATGCTAGAGCCAATTTAAACAGGAGCCAATTAACCTATCAGCATGTCTTTGGAGTGTAGGAGGAAACCAGAGTACCTGGAGGAAACCCACGCAGACACAGGAAGAACATGCAAACTCCAGGCAGGTGGTGCTGTGGTTGGGATTTGAACCTGCAACCCGAGTACTGCCAGGTGGAAGTGCTAACCATTTAGCCACTGTGCTGCCCTTTTAGTGAGCTGATGCCCAAAATTGAACAGCACCACCATTTATTGTGCCTCTTAGACAAGAGCACAGTGGAGATGTTGGTACAATTAGCAGACGTAGAATATACTTAATCAGGGGCGGACTGATCACTTGGAAACTCAGGCACTGCCCGAGGGCCCAGGGTCAGTAGGGGGTCTCATGAGATGCCCCTGGTACCTTTTTCATAGGCTTTTTTGAGTTTGGGCAAGGACACAAGGGCCCCATGATCCCCTATTGCCCGGGGCCCCATGAGTTGTCAGTCCGCCCCTGTACTTAATCTCAGCATTTTATTATGGGCCTCTGATTTCAAGGACCATGCAATAGCCGAGAGGCTTTCCTGAACAATGCATGTGCTGACATAAGGAATTCCTTCTGACTTCTTAATCCTGCCAACCCTACTCGGCTTCATTGCCTCACACCGCTAAACAGTCCAATCCTTCCTTGCATTAATTTGAGATGTAAAGAGGTGATAAAGATTCTAGAGCAGACTCCTTCACATTTGCCTGTCTCTCTGGTGGATTTATCTCCTCCGATGAGTGGGAGACGAGAGTTATTGGCCCCTGGATCCACCATAAAGCAATCCTGTTAATTGTATCAGTATGCTAAGAAATGGAGTGTGCAAAGTAGATCGTTCCATCTCAATCCTCGTTGTCACATGGAACAGGTTGGCTACTTGATATGCCTTTACAGAAATTACGCAGGGAATAATAAGGAGCTATATTTACCGACCAGCTGAGGTTGTGACCCCTATAAAGGGATTCCAAACAAACATGGATTCATTTAGTGTGTATGATTGTATTTTTTTCTTCTTCTGTAAAACATTAGCTATGAGCTATGGGGAACGCAGACAAGCCGCGGTAATTGTTTTATATCAAGGTAAAATATATACTGTATGTCTCTGGCTGAGCCTCTAATGCAGCCTTCCTTAGCATTTTTTACATGGAAGAACCCTTGAAATAATTTTCTGGTCTTGAAAAACCCCTTGTATTAACTACTTTATCTGCAGCTCACGGAACATTAGCGTGACGGCAGTGATAAGAATGTTCCTTACATTGGTGGTCAGTGGGAGGAATGCCCAATATATCAGTGGCCAGTTGGAAGGATGCACCTTACATTGGTAATCAATAGAAAGGATGCTTCTTACATTGGTGGACAGTGGGAAGAATGCCTTTTTACACTGATGGTCAGTGGGAAGAATGCTCCTTACATTGGTGCTCAGTGTGAGGAATGCCCAATATATCAGTGGCCAGTTGGAAGAATGTGCCTTACATGGTAATCAATGGGAAGGACGCTTCTTACATTGGTGGCCAGTGGAAAGAATGCCTCTTTACACTGGTGGCCAGTGGGAAGAATGCTCCTTACATTGGTTGCCTGTGGGAAGAATATCTCTTATATTAGTGGCCATTGGAAAGAATGTGCCATACATTGGCGGCCTGTAGGAAGAATGCCCTTTACATTGGTGGCCAGTGGAAAGAACGTCCCTTATATTGGTGGCCAGTGGGCAGAATGCTCCTTACAATGGTGGCCAGTGGGAAAAAGGCCCCTTATACTGGTGGAAACACTCTGCACATGCTCAGTTTGATGTGTATTGCTAGAGAAGTTTTTTCTTTCTTGGGAGAGTGCATGTGATCAGCACAGGGCCAATCAGCACTGTCCAGACAGAGACCAGGGGCCCTGCATCCTCCTAGAGCAGAAAGAAAACTGCTCCTACAATCCTTAACCAGTGTCCTGCTGAACACTGACAGAAGTCACAAGACTGCTATATACTGCTGATGAGAAAAGGTATTTAGCAGTCTATATTTACTAAAATAATTGTATTTCCATGTTGTGTGTACTGTGGGAGACCAGATATAGTGAATGCAGGGTCCTAGGAGACCAGATATAGTGAATGCAGGGTCCTGGGAGACCAGATATAGTGAATGCAGGGTCCGGGAGACCAGATATAGTGAATGCAAGGTCCGGGGAGACCAGATATAGTGAATGCAGGGTCCTGGGAGACCAGATATAGTGAATGGAGGGTACTGGGAGACCAGATATAGTGAATGCAGGGTCCAGGGAGATCAGATATAGTGAATGCAGGGTCCTGGGAGACCAGATATAGTGAATGCAAGGTCCAGGGAGATCAGATATAGTGAATGCAGGGTCCTGGGAGACCAGATATAGTGAATGCAGGGTCCGGGGAGACCAGATATAGTGAATGCAGGGTCCTGGGAGACCAGATATAGTGAATGCAAGGTCCGGGGAGACCAGATATAGTGAATGCAGGGTCCTGGGAGACCAGATATAGTGAATGCAGGGTCCAGGGAGATCAGATATAGTGAATGCAGGGTCCTGGGTTTCCAGGGAGTAACACTTGAAGCCTGGGGGAAGGAATGAGCTAAACGTGTAGACAGTGTAACGTCATCACTCCTGGACGCCACGGCTCACAGTCTGCCATGCTGTCAGACTACCTCCGCTCTAGCATGAATTGGTGCGGCATCCATAGAAGGAGGTTTGGCATGTCTAGGATGAGGATGTGGAAATTGTCTGTATCCAGGTGCATATGGCTTTACATGCATGCAGGTTTACACAAGTACCAACATATATCCACATACAATTATGTACAGCCATTTATATCTATGGGCGACTGTACGCGGTAGCTGTGTGTCCAGGGTGGGTAAATGTACCTGAAATTAGAATCGTCCGCACAAAAGCCCCTCTGTGCTTGAGCACCTGAAGTAGTTATGAATAGCTTGGACAAATTGTAGCTTGTGGAAATTAAGCTATTTGTTGGGGAGGCACAGATGTGGATTTACTAAAGGCAAATAGACTGTGCACTCTGCAAGAGCACTTGCTCCAGAGCTTAGTAAATGAGGGGAAGCTCTGCTGAATTCCATCATCCAATCATGTGCAAGCAACATTTTTTTTTCTTCATTTTCCTTTCATGTGATTAGCTATTCTCTGCAAAGTCAAGCTTCATCTCACCTAAACTTTGGGGCATCTGCAACTTCAGAGTGCACAGTCTATTTGTCTTTAGTAAATTGAAACACCATGCCGCTTCCACCCACAACATTTCCATCATAATCATCCTGTGATTAAACTTATAATACTATATAAACTGAATATAATAAACAATGTGCTTTCAAGAAAAAAGTCCTATAAATTCACATAGTCCTTTCAAAGAAATCATCCTGTGACGAATCTGTGAATATTCCATCCATACATTCCAATCTCCCAAAATGTGTACACCATCACCAATACAACCGATGTGCTCTCCCCTGGACCTGGAACATATACAATGTTTGGCCCCTTTAAATGGGCTAAGTAGAGGTGTATCTTGAAGTATCTTTCTCCTTCTGGGTCAATTGTAGACCATCTCCTCCTTCACATTCCACCGTTCATATGCTGGTGCACCTCGGCTGAAACCTGGTCCGTTAGATTATTCAGCCCAATGAAGGCAAAGAAGAAGCACAGGAGAACTCATTGCAGTAAACACAACAGCCGTCCTCAAAACACAAATCCACCCTCAATGTAACATCTGAAGGTGGCTCTTTTGCATAAAAGGCTGAGGCTCATTTGAATACATCATTATGAGAGGTTATTCTGAAAATAGAACCAGATATAGTATATATATATAAATATATATATATACAGTTGTGTTCAAAATAATAGCAGTCAGACATCACTAACCGGATCAATCACTGTTTTTGGTAGAAATGATATTTCTACATGGCAGATAATTTACTAGCAGGTGTAGTAGAGTAATAGAAATCCAACAGACCCAACAGTCATGACATGCATGCTGCTGATTCTGTGTCATTGAATCACTCATTGAAAGGGGCATGTTCAAAATAATAGCAGTGTGGAGTTCTATTAGTGAGGTCATTCATTCTTTGAAAAACAGGTGGCAATTATTGCCCTTATTTAAGGAAGGAAGGCAGCAAATGTTGTACATGCTGGTTACAGTGCATTTCTCTCTGAAATTCTGAGGAAAATGGGTCGTTACAGACATTGTGCAGAAGAACAGCGTACCTTGATTAAAAAGTTGATTGGAGAGGGGAAAACATATAAAGAAGTGCAGAAAATGATCGGCTGCTCAGCTAAAATGATCGCAAATGCTTTAAAATGGCAACCAAAACCTGAAAGACGTGGAAGAAAGCGAAAAACTACAATTCGAATGGATAGAATAGCCAAAATGGCGCGGACTCAGCCAACAATCAGCTCCAGGAAGATGAAAGAAGGTGTGACGTTCCCTGTGAGGACTGTTACAATTAGAAGACGCCGATGTGAAGCCAAGCTATCTGCAAGAAGTCCCCGCAAAGTCCCACTGTTGAAAAAAAGACATGTGCTGAAGAGGTTACAATTTGCCAAAGAGCACATTGACTGGCCTAAAGAGAAATGGCGCAACATTTTGTGGACTGATGAAAGTAGGATTGTTCTTTTTGGGTCTAGTGGGCGGAGACAGTTTGTCAGATGACCCCCAAACACTGAATTCAAGCCACAGTACACTGTGAAGACTGTGAAGCATGGTGGTGCAAACATCATGATATGGGGATGTTTCTCATACTACGGTGTTGGGCCTATTTATCGCATACCAGGGATCATGGATCAGTTTGAATACATCAGAATACTTGAAGAGGTCATGCTGCCTTATGCTGAAGAGGAAATGCCCTTGAAATGGGTGTTCCAACAAGACAACGACCCCAAACACACCAGTAAACGTGCAACATCTTGGTTCCAGACCAACAAGATGGACTTTATGGAGTGACCAGCCCAATCCCGGATCTTAATCCAATAGAAAACTTGTGGGGTGACATCAAAAAATGCAGTTTCTGAGGCAAATCCAAGAAATAGAGAAGAACTGTGGAATGTCGTCCAATCATCCTGGGCTGGAATACCTGATCACAGGGGCCAGAAGTTGGGTGACTCCATGCAACACAGATGTACAGCAGTTCTCAGAAACAGTGCGACTACAACCAAATATTCATGAAGTGATTCAAAGGAAAGCAAAATCTTCAAACATTTTTCAGTTTATATAGTGAATGTTTGAGTTTGTAAAGAAGAATACAAACACTGCAATTTTTTTGAACCGTCTAATATTCACTTTTCTTCAATTTTTTTAGAGGAAAAACACATATTTGATCTATTTTTCTTCATGTTTTGATTTGGAATAGAATGTGTAGTGTTCCCAATGCATTCGTGTGGATGGAAATAAAAGCTATTAGAAGGATTTTGAGCTTTATTCACTTTTTTCAACATACTGCTATTATTTTGAACACAACTGTATATATATTTTTTTTAGTTTTCTGTAAATGTGTAGAGAGGTGGCTGAACTGTTTATGTCATTACATGTCACTGACTCTAGCAACCAGAACTGCTGACTTGTGAAAATAAATCTGCTCAAGGCTTTGGCATGGCTCACAACTTTCCAATGGTTATGCAAATGCACGGGCTTGGTCATTCTTACATCATTCCAGAGAGGCAACAAAAAAAGCAGACTGTCAATGCTGCATGTGCAAAACACACACTTTCATGAATATACTGAGACCTATTATTGTCAGCATCAGCAAAAACATGGCTCCTGTAAAAATAAACACACATTACTCTTGTAGTTAGGCAGTCCACAACAATCTGATCATTATTTGAAGATTAGGTTAACAAATTAAAGAACTTGATTGCTTGCTAAGGCCAATATCTGTTTTGTATATTAGTGTGAGATAAACCCTTTGATTGACAAGCACATATTCCATCTGTCATGGTTATGGACTCTACTACAGTTGCAAGAAAAAGTATGTGAACCCCTTGGGATTACGTGGAGTTTTGCATGAACTGGGCATGCAAAGGGAGGGAGCATCATGGTTTGGGGCTGCTTTGCTGCCTCAGGGCCTGGACGGATTGTTGTCATTGATGGGAAAATGAATTCCAGAGTTTATCAAGACATTTTGCAGGAAAACGTACGACCATCTGTCCGCCAACTGAAGCTCCGCAGAGGATGGGTGATGCAACAGGACAATGACCCAAAGCATACAAGTAATTCAACAAAACAATGGCTGCAACAGCACAGAATACGCCTTCTGGAGTGGCCCAGTCAGAGTCCTGACCTAAACCCCATTGAAATGCTGTGGCATGACCTTAAGAGAGCGATTCACACCAGACATCCCAAGAATATTGCTACACTGAAACAGTTTTGTGAAGAGGAGTGGTCCAAAATGACTCCAGATGGTTGTGCAGGTCTGATCTGCAACTACAGGAAACGTTTGGTTGAGGTTATTGCT